GCCAGGGTCATGGTGATGATGTTCCTGTTAATGATGAAGGTCAGTCTGACCATGATGGTGATGGCACAGGACCTGCCCTGTGGAATAAATGTGTTCCCGAGGGCTTTGTGTTACCATCGTGGCAGTAGTATCATGAAAAATATGTATTTGGTCTTTGTCCCTAGTTCCTGCCACAGAGTTCCTAACACACTTGGAATTTCCTCAGTGATAGACGCATCCTTTGATACTGGCAACAATCCCCTTAGATCATACCTCAGTTCATGCTAATGAGGTGACTCATGATGGAGTTCCTATCTTTTTTTTTTTTTGACCAAGTATCTACCTTTGGTATTTAATTTTATGTGTCAACTTTATGGGATAAGAGATACATAGCTGGTAATGCATTATTTCTGGGTGGGTCTGTGAGGGTGTTTCTTTTTTTTTATTTTTTATTTATTTCATCATATTATGGAGGTACAAATATTGTTAGGGTTACAAATATTGCCCCTGCCCCTCCTCCTCCCCCCGATGTGTCCAATCCCCCGGTGGTGTGCATCACACACGTTATGGAAGCATACACCCCTTTCCTCCTCCCCCCTACCTGCCCTGCAATAGCATTGTTGGGCATCTACCCAAAAGAGCATAAGACATTCTATTATAAAGACATCTGCATCCGAATGTTTATAGCAGCACAATTCACTATTGCTCGGTCATGGAAGCAACCCAAGACCCCATCAATTCATGAGTGGATAATTAAAATGTGGTATATCCTCACAATGGAATATTACTCAATCCTAAGAAATGACAGTGAGCTAGCACCGTTTATGCTATCCTGGATTAAGCTTAAGCCGTTATCCAAAGTGAGGCGACACAAGACATGGAAAATGGCCCCTACATCTACTCGCCATCAAATTGGTACTGACTGATTAAAACTATGGTTTTCAAATGGTGGCAATACACACCAGGGATTCGGGGGGAGGGGGGGACCCAATCTTAGGGAGGTGGCGAGTATTTTGGAAGGGAAGGGCATAACTCTAACCCTTTTTAGGGAGAGGCAAAGATATACAATGGAGTTCCTATCTTGATAGCCTCAAGATTGGGGGCTGGTCACCAGAAAGGCCAGGCACATGATAAGAGAGTTGAAACTTTCAGCTTCACCAATGACCAATAATTTAATCAATCATGCCTACGTAATGAAACCTCCATAAACACCCCCAAAGGACAGGGTTCAGAAAACCTCTGGTTACTAACTCAAAACATATTAACTTCCTGGGAGGATGGTGGGCCCCGACAGAGCTTAGAGGCTCTGGCTTCATCCACCCTTCATATGTTGCCTTATGCATCTCTTCTATTTGGCTGTTACTGAATTGTATCTTTTATAATAAACTGATAATCATAGGTAAAGCACTTTCCAAAGTTCTATGAGTCATTCTAGCAAACTATTGAACCTGAAGGGGGGATCATGGGAACCTCTGAATTTGTAGTCATCCAGGCAGAAGTGTGGGTAGCCTGGAAGCCCCATTTACAGGTGGCATCTGAAGTGGGGGCACTCTTAGGGGACTAGGCCCTTAACCTGTGGGGTCTGTTCTATTATAACCCTGAGAGCTAGCATCAGAATTGACTTGAACTGTTGAACACCCAGTTGGTGTCAGAGAATTGCAGAATTGTAGAAAACCAACACGTCTTTGGTGTTGAAAGAAAACCGCTCAGCTATCCTAAATCATTTGTGTTCATTAACTCAGGTAATCTCACAACAGCCCTATGACTTAGGCAACTACTCTAATCCTCTTTTTACAAAGAGCATACTGAAGTACGGGGAAGTTCATAACTTACTTCAAGTTCACACAACCAGAATTTTATTGCGATGATGTATATATAGGTTTCTAATTCATATGTATCAGCAATGAAAAATCATTTTGATGATGTAATAAAACACTTAAAATGACCTATGTAAGTGAAAATAAGCATTAGTTTACAGAAAAAGATTCTTAGTGACCTGAGTGTCATTTGGTTTAGTGAAATTTCAGCCTCTTCTTGGCCAAAGCACACCCATGGAGACAAAACCCACCACGCTGAAAGAAGCCCAGAGCACGGGAGAGCCTGAGAAGCCCTGTTTGAGGACACCTGGCCAGAGTCCTGGTCATCGGTCATCGGTCATCGGTCATCGGTCATAGTCTAATAGTACTTTGTATCTCCCTTGCAATGCGAATGAAATCCTTTCCTTCTGGAAGGGAGCCTAGGATTAATTTTGTGTTTCTTTTTGGAAATCCTTAAGCAGCATTGCCCTAGTTGGGAAGAAGAGGAGCTCTGTCACCAGGGATCAAAGAGTTTGTGTCTGTTCAGGTTTGCAGGCCGCTATCCTGTGTTTCTCCCTTAAGGACTTCTTGCCTTCCCTCCTGGGACATCTTGATAAGGAGGCTGCCCACGCACAAGCTGTGTCTCTGCTGGTTGTCCCCTTCAAACATTCTCATAGTATGTCCAGGGGGCCCCCTAAATCTCTGAGCAAGAATATGGAGCACAGTGCAGGAGCTGATCGAATTATAGTCAGTAGGGGTCCCAGTGCTTCTCTAAATCAATTTCATGAGGAATATGGTGGAATGGAAAAACACTGACCCCCCCCACCCACCCCCACCCCGGGAATAGCAAAGAGTCACATACAAAGAGTCACACCCAGATGTCCTGACACTGGAGCAATGAAGGATGCAGAGTCTGGGACTCATGAGTTCAATTTTGCATTTTGGGAAGATTATGGAGGTTGCATGGTAGAGAGCAGATCGGAGCAGTGTAGGACTAGACTCAGGAGGCCCTGCTAAGAAAGACAGAACTCAGACTCATACAGTAACAACGAGGATGGGAAAAAGTAGAAAAACTCGTAAGAAGATTTGGTGTTTGGTTGTTTAGGTGAGGGGTGGGTTACAAGAGAGAGCAGTTCAGGATGTTTTTGGTCTCTGAACTGGGCAGGTAATGATGCTATTTGCAAGCTGGAAATCAACAGAGAGGGGGTTTGTTGAAGAGGAGGCTGGGTGTTGAGCTTCATTTTATAAGCCTTGATTTTGATATCAGAATGAACCCTTGATTAGGAAAATTTAGTAGGCAGCAAAATATATCAATCAGTAGCTCAGGAAACAGATATGGACTTCATATGTTGAACTTTAGAAGTCATTCAGGCAAAAGTAGTTCCCACTAATCCACGATAAACCCATTCTGGGTATTGGAGAGACAACAGCCAACAAGAGGAGGGCAGGCTCATGCCTGTCGTGAAGTTTATAATAAAATGGAAAAAAGATAAACAAAATAAAAGTAATAAATAAGAAACTATTTGTCAGTGATAGGGAAATAAAATAAAGCAAAGTGAAGTGATTGACAGTGACAAGGGGGCTCCTTCAGCATTGGTGGTCACCCAGCCCTCTCTGAGAAGGGGCTCTTTGGCCATCAGCACGGTGATGTTAACTGAGGCCACGGGTAGAAGAGCTGGCCCAGGAGAGGAGAGGGGAGTGAGGGACAAAGGAGCAGGTGGTGAGAGGCTCAGACACTGATGGAACCAGGACTTGCTCATACTATGTGAGCTTGGGCAAATCATTTAACTTCTGAATCTCAATTTCCTTATTTATAAAGTTAACGGGGGATCAAAATAATGTATTTTAAAGAGTCAAGAAAATTAGATGTGAACACTGTATAGGTTAATGCATCTAACACACTTTTTGGGAAAACTGGACCTTAGATGTATAGAATTAGAAAAATCAGAATTCTTGGACCAGGACACACAATCATCTCTGCTCCGGGCATGATCCGCAACTCTTTAGTTAGTTGATCTGCCCATCTGTCGATTCATTCATTCATGTGAAAATCTGATAACATAAAAAGAACAAGAACCCACCACAATGAAAGCTAGAATCTTGACAATAACTTACCTCTAACTACAGGGCCTAGCCCACCCACCCACTGCTCCTCCCCACTCAAAGGATGTATTATTCTAAAACATGGTTTTGTCCATACCTTGTTTTCCTTTTCATAGAGTTTGTTATCATATGTATGTCAACCCAAAAAGGATATGTTTTGCTGTTTTAAAATTTATGAAAAGGCTATTATGTATGCTCTATGTAATCTTTTGGGAATTAATTTTTTCATTTACTCATTTATTGCTTTATGTTGATTCAGTTCATTCATTTTGAATGCTGAATCACAGCACCTTGAATGAATATTTAATAATGAATCATCCACCTTCTATTTAAGAGGAATTTGGCTGGTCCCCAGATTTTACTATTTAGAGGAGTGCTAGCAGTTTTTAAGTTTTCACTTCATATTGGCTGTTAGGAATACTATCATAGTTGTTACAATTAAAAAAAAAGTATGGTAGTGTAATAGACATAAAATCGGAAAAAATTTACATAAACCAAAAAGAGGACAATATCCCCAATGGAAACTGGAAGACCAGACTGGCTCTTTCTGTATGCAGGAAAGGTTGACCCAGGACTTTCTATCCATACCCAGGTCAGAGAGACTGGCTACCTGACCCACGCTTTTGTGCAGGCTTCTGTCCCCAGGCAGGGAAGGGCTGGGCTCCAAGTTGCTAATACTGGCCTGTAGGGATGCCACTGGCAGAAATAAAGAGGAGGCTGGTGAGGCTTAGTAGGGAAGACTTTCTTATTCTCTAACACAGAAGCTTGACCATATGGGGGAAAATTGAGAACCTTCCACAGGAAGATTTCAGCATCTCAGAATCCAGGACATGGAGGACAGGAAAAGGAGGGAGGAGGAGCAGCAGGCTGGAGCAGGTCTTCTGCACGTTGCTTCCTCCAGCACTGCTTGTCTGAGGTTCTCAAGGCCCAGGTCAGCAGCAGCCTCCGGAGCAGCAGCCGGAGCCCCCGGACTGCCGGCCACTGCCACTGCTACTGCCACAGCAGCCGGAGCTCTGGAGTCAGCGGGCGTCAAAGAGATCGGTGGGGCCTGTGGTGGCTCAGGCGGCAGCTGCCACCCCCAGAGCTGGAGCCACAGCAGCCCCCAGAGCTGACGCTGCAGCAGGAAGAGACGGGAGGACACGTAGGGGGACACTTTGGGGGGCATTTCAGGGTGGGGCACTTGGGAGGGCACTTGGGGGTGCACTTGGGAGGGGGCTGGAATTGCTACCGGCTCTGCTGGTAGGACATTGTTAAGAGGAAGTCAGTGAACCTAAGAAGAAATTTTAAAAACCATCGGCACAAGTGTTAAGCAGATATGCATTCCCCCGAGTCTGAATTTCATTGAATCCTCACTCCAGAGCAAGCTACTTTGTGAAAAAGATCCATTAATGGAATTTGGAAAATGATAGGAAATGAAATTCAGTGCAGTGAAATCTCTCTGTATTGCCTTTTCCCCCCAGTGAAAGATGCTGAACATCTCCCCACATGGGCTCTAAAATCAGCTCCGTAGAAGGCTCCCCAGGCACATAGCTGGCCACATGTTCAGAAACCATCCTTTGATGGATCATTCTTATGCATATCCAATGGGTGTCTCTGAGAACATTTACTGGAAGAGGATTAGAGGGAAAGATATAGAAGGTGCAACCTTGAGCAGTTTCACTCCTGTGACTGCTGTTGGTTTGTTCCTTCTCCTCTTCCTTTACCACCCTGCTCACGATGCAGCTCTTGTTGTTCTCCTTCACTAAGCTAGACACTCATAGTGCCATAGCCTGCTTCTGGCCCATATTGACCAAGCTAAGAGGAGTCAGGAGATGACGTAAATGATAAGGCTGTGTACACACAGGCCCAGGCCTAGATCAACTGCAGGTTGAAGAATCCCTTACCCTGGTTCCCCCACCCCCAAGTCACTTCTTCCTCTGTCCTTGCCTTCTTCTGCCCTCCCTTTGTGCAGTCCTGCCTGCCAACCCCACGCCCACCCCCTAACCCCCCACCCCAGAACCTTCTTGACCAAGCACTCACCTGGCGAGTGGAGGAGCAGGGTCTGTCACTGACACCGCTGGGGAGCCCAGCACTGGAGCCCTTTTATCTTAGGCCTGGTGTCTTCCTATAGTGAAGCACGGCCCTTGTATGCAGACTGTCCCTTTCACAACCTGGGGGCAGGGTGACTCTTCTCACACTTCTCTGCCAGCCCCAGTGCTCCAGGATCTCCCTGGACAGGGGCCAAGAGGAATCCTAGGAGCCAGAGACTGACTGCCCAGACATCTGCTTCACAGGCCTGCTGCAGGCCAGCCATTCTACCTTCATGCATTCACTCATTCATTAATTCAGTCAATATGTATAATCTATCTTGAACCCATAACTTTTCAAGACATCAATTACACAAAGATGACACAGATTGCTCTGAGGACCTTATGGCCTTGGAGCACGAGTATATAAGCAATGATTTGTAAGTTTTTGTGCCATGTGATCTTGATCTTTTGTTCAGGTCCCTTATAGCTCTTCCTTACGGCAGTTTCACAGTCTTTCTACATATCTGTCCTCCCTGTGAACTATTTGAAAGTAGGGTATGTCTTACTCACCTCTGTATCCCCTGTGCATGGTACAGTGTCTGGCACAGTAAACTTAGGAAGAAGAGTAAACATCAGGAAGGAGGAAAGCAGATGTTAGAAAGCACAGAGGCAGAGACTCAGGCCATAGTGTGGCAGCCTCTTGGTTTTCAAAATCCTTTGTAGCAAGGCAGATTCCCAGGGAGGTACAGTGTTATCTCCACTAATACCAAATATTAATTCCTAAGAAATAAATTGAGAGCACAGCTCTATAGAAATGAGATCAAGTTGGCGGAATGTGGACCCAAAGGAATCCACAGGAGGCTTAGAAGCCCCTGGAGGGCACTGGGCACATGGAAGACGTGGTGCTGCCACCAGAGAGGAGAGGGGGCTTCGTAGACGAAGGGATTAGAAGAGAGACCCATATTAATTTGAACTTGGACGTTCTAACAAACTTTTTGGTTTGTGGTTGACAGTGAGGGCCAAAAGTGCTTGAGAATTAGGATAATTGCATTATGAGCTATTGCATATCTATAGGTAGACACTTAAAGGGAAGAGAAACAAAAGAAGATACAAGTGGATTTGAGTTGATACTGATTTAACACCTACTAACTAACAAACACAGTGTTAAATTGCTCTGAATAAAGAGTTATCACTAGCTTTAATGAGCTGCTATTGTAGTCAGGGCATTTTTTTAAGATAACAGAGCCCTCCTAGGCACATACCGGAGGACATCACCTAGCACAAACTGGATTGGCTCTATGGTAATTAAATAATCATGGAGCTGGGAAAATAGAGACAAAATGAACAGACTGGGCACAGGATCATGCAAGTGGCTGGAATTCAAAAAGTGGCAGCAACTTCTATAGCTGCTATTACTACTACTCTGCTGATTATGATAGTTTCACGTGGTTTGATATTTTAATAGGCATTACTCTGCCCAACAAGGCTCCCTTGTCACAAAGGAGAACTGATAGTATCTGACATAATTAGAAGTCTTAATTCTGTCCTATTTTCCCTCTTGGATTCAACTACAGCCGTAGGTGAATATTTGTGAAGGTGAAGATGACAAAAGAATGAGGGGTTAGGTATATCTCATTCTACACCACTTATTAGACATATGCTATGTGCAAAGGGATTGCCCTAGGTAATACAGAAGATTCAGAAAGATTTGGAAACCATCCCTATCTTCAAAGAGGTACTTACAGAGTTTACCGTCTAGAAGGCCAGACAGACAAGTACTCCACTAACTTACAGACAAGGTTATTCTCAGTAAAACCAAAGTGTGACTTTCTGGAGGTAGAGTCTCAGCAATGAAAATGAACAGAGGTAGATGCAGAAATGTAGAGATCTCTAGCGATAGCTACAGTGTGTAAGAATGAGGCATAGATTGGAGCAAAATAAGAGGGGTCTGAGGGGAAAAGTTTCTACACAATTAGAGGAACGATAATATGAAAACAACAAAGAAGAGAGTGATATAAGATGACATAGAAAGATATATAACTCTGTGCTTAGCATAGAACTATAGGAACACATATACACTCTCTAATTGAATTAACAATTCTAAGTGTTATGTGAGTTCAGAGAAGAAAATTATTCTTACGGGCTGGGAAAATTAAGACTTGCTTTTGGAAGAATTATAACTAATGAAAAATTTAATAGGATTGATACTAGTGGTGGTTGCATGGTCTGAATTCAATGGACTCAACCGTGAGTAAGGATTGAATCAAATGAATCTATTTTAACCAGAATATTTCCCATAATTTCTTATAATATTAAGAATTATCTTTTTCCTAAACTATGTATTTGTTAAACTCACAATGAAAAGTGGGATCATTTTTTTAAAAGGATTATTTTAAAACTTAATTACAATAAAAATCTTATAACTATAATAAATGAGTGTGGCTTTATTTGATATAATGCAGCCTAACTTACCCTTCTTAAGATTTTGAGTATGTTTTAAAGAAGGGTTGAGAATTCCTCTCTTCATTTTACTCTGAACCATGTGGAAATTCTGATTCTTTGTAAGACACTTGCAGGAATATGGATTTGTACTAGAGCATGGACATGAGGGTGCAGGGGAAGGAAGGAGTGACACAGGGTGGCAGCATTTTTACCATCTCCCTATTCCAGGGAGAAATGCCTGTCCTTACTGAGGGGCTACAGTCAGATAGCCTCACTCAGAAATAAAGAATACAGCTTCCTTTTCCACAAACCTCTCTATTCATGGGCAGACACTTGCCAGGAAATAGGAAACACTTTCTGATCTGCTAGTGTAGGCAACAAGTCTAAAAAGTGGCTTATAATAGGAGAGAACAGGGCTCTATTCATACCTGCTTTGCAGAGAAGCTGGGCCTGAGAGGGAGGTGGGCAGAGATTGATGGGTTGAGGGCAGCGGTAAGTATTCAGTTACTCTCAGCCTCTGTTCTACTTCTGTATCCACATCTGGATCACTGGATGGATTGGACTCTTAGTGTTTTGTTCCAAAGGACTGACCACCTCTCTTTTCCAACTTCAGTCCATAATAATTAAAGATAACATCTATGGAGCATTTACTGTGCACCAGAGCTTCTCTAATCATTTTACATGCTCTGTCTCAACTAATCTCTACAGGAGCCTATACCTGCAGTCCCCAACCATTGGGCTATGGACTGGTACTAGTTCGTGGCCTGTTAGGAACTGGGCCACACAGCAGAAGGTGAGCAGTGGGCAAGCCAGTGAAGCTTCATCTGTATTTACAGCCGCTCCCCACTGCTCACATCACTACTTGAGCTCCGCCTCCTGTCAGATCAGTGGCAGCATTAGATTCTCATAGGAGCACGAACCCTACTGTAAATTACACATGCAATAGATCTAGGTTGTGCATTAGATCTAAGTTGCACTTCTTATGAGAATCTAATGTCTGATGATCTGAGGTGAAGTTGAGGCAGTAATGCTAGTGCTGGGGAGCAGCTGCAAATACAGATTATCATTAGCAGAGAGGTTAACCATGTAATAATAATAGAAATAAAGTGCACAATAACTGTAATGTGCTTGAATCAACCCGAAACCATCACCACCACCCCACCCCTGGCTCTGTGGAAGAATTATCTTCCATGAAACTGGTCCCTGGTGCCAATAAGTTGGGCACTGCTGGCCTATACACTAAATAGTAACAACAACAATAATTACTATTATTATTCAGATTGTGCAGATGTGAAGATTGAGGCAAAAAGAGGTTAAGTAACTTGTCCAAAATTCAGAGTTAGTGGTGGCCAGTTTAAACCCAGGCATTCTAACGCTAAAGCCATAAAGCAGTATTACTGTCCAACCCTTATCCTGCAGTTTTCCTCTGTCTTAGTTTATTCTCTGCTACGCTAACAGAATAATACAAATTATGTAATTTATGAAGAACAGATGTTTCTCTGGGTCACAGTTTTGGAGGCTGGGAAGTCCAATGGCATAACACCAGCATCTGACAAAGGTCATCCCATAGCAGAAGAATGAAGGTGGAATGAGCCCTTGGGACAGAGAGAGGTACCAGTGGCTGGCTTTGCTTTATGACAACCTACTCTGGTGATAATTAACCCATTCCTGCAATAATGACATTAATCCGTCCATGAGGGCTCTGCACTCATGACCAAATCTCCATTTACTAAGCCCCATCCCCAAAACTGTTGCAGTGGGGATTAAGTTTCCAATACATGAACTTTCGGGGGACACATTCAAACCATAGCACTTTCGTTCAAACTCTGGCTGCAGGAAAGGATGCTAATTCACTAGATACAAATTATTTTTCATAAACAAACATATAGGTCCTTTTCATTCTGAAGGAATATGCAGCCATCAGAGAGCTATATAAATCACACACAACAAGCAAGGCACAAACACCCAAGAAATTTCCATAGGCTTAGTCCCTGTTCTTCATGAACTATAAGTGAACTTCTTTCTGACTTTTTCCAGCCCCATCCTTTACTCCAAGCCTTGGATACCTTAGCACTTTCCCCTTGCCCCCAAATCACTTCTGTCCCAGCTGCATGGCCTCTTTTTTAAAGTTTAGGTTGTGGAGTGAAGCACACTTCACACACAGAGCATATATGCATACATACATACATACACACCCCAGAGCAGATGTCCTGACCGGTGATAGCCAAGGGATGGCCAGGTGATGGCAGAAATGGCATAGATGTGAGACCAAAGGTGATCAACTCCACCCCATGGAGTTACAGGACCATTACAGCAACAACTCCAACAACTCAATTCTAAGGTTCTACTCCCTAGTGATCCTGACATTCTAAGATTGTGGGGTAACGTGATGAGAATCTTGATGGATCTGCTTAGCCTGACTCTTAGAAATTGATACTTCTTTTATGATTAAGGACTCTCACTTTTTAGTCCTTAAATTTGTGATACTCTCCAACAATACTCAGAAGCTAATAATAGTGATGCACAAGTCACACACATTGTAAAATTTACTACATTTTTTGGAACCTTTGGGGGTAGCCAAGGAGAATTGTCTTTCTTCATCTTTGTTGAGTTATTAATGGAGTTCAGATTGATTTTCTAGTAATTCCTTTATATATTCACTTCCTTAGCTATTTTGTGGAAATTCCTAAATTATTTTTCTCTGTTCTTTTTATTCCTTGGTATCAGTGAATGTGGGAAGAATACAGAGCTGGGAGTCATGTAACATAGAGCAGCGTCTAATCCAAAATCTGCAGCTAATTCACAATTTTGTCTTAGATTAGATAGTTAAGCTTTCTATAAATGGGGAGGGTGTAACAGATGATTAAGACTCTTTTCCAAGGCTAAAATTCTAACCCTAAAGTTCTCCTTTCCCTTCGGATAAACTCGTCTTGCCCTCCCCTCAATGCTCAGCCCTCATTTAAGTCACACCCCAGCTCCCACAGCCCCAGAGGGTGTGCTCATATTGTCAGAAACTTAGCTTAATTGCATGTTCATAAGCAAGAGGACAACTCCGTAATGATATCTCTAAACCTAGAACATATCGGAAACTAAAAAAAAATGGTCCCTGAACTCTTTTCATAATCCATGCCAAAATGTGAACAGACTAAATCAATTAAAAATAACAGTGTCATTTTAAAGACGTAGGATTTAAAGGAAGAAAGGAGATTTGAATGAGAACATAGAGTAACTGATACTAGATGATTTTGCACATAGTGTAAAGTTTACTTCTCTCAGCTTAGTAGGGGGAGAGTCTCTTCATCTTTCTGCACAATAGAGGTCACCTTTTCCCACACCCAGAAATGTACTTGGGAACTCTAGAGACCACAAAGAGACAGAAATACCTGCTTGCACAGTCTTTCAAGCCCTCATTTGCCTGTCAGGATATCTATCTCCTCTGGTGAGATGAGATGCCATAACTACCCATGTACTTAGATTACCCATCTACTTAGATTGACATCATGATTAACACATCTACATGATTGACACCATGAATATCCGTTTACGTGGAGGGAGGGTCCACCTGCCACTCACAAGACCACAGGTGGCTTATGGCTCCCCTAAAACAACCACATCAGAGCACAGTTGCAATCTTCTCATTTCCCCACAAAGATGACGCAGAGCAACAGCATGGGACTCATGTTATTACAAAGCTTAGCTACCTTCCACTCTGGCCCGTTTCTTGCACAGACTCCAAGACATCTGCTTTCTGCATGCGAGATAGGACTGGAAAGGGAAAGAGAGGAGATAGCGTGACTTGGAGATAAAAATAGTCATCAAAAAAGGGGAGACAGAGGAAGAAAATACAACTAGTGTATGTCCAGAGGGACCCAGCTAGTCTGCATATATTACTTAATTTATTCCTCAAAATAACACTACAAGGCTGTTAATAATATTTCTATTTCATGAGTAAATAAAGTGGTAGAAGTGAAGCTGTAACTCTAGAAACATTTGACTCCAGTGCTTGTACTCTTTCAACTGTGTCACACTGAGCAGCATAAACTTTATACAACATATTTTATATTATAAAGGGATTGGCATTAGGATTGTTGGAATTCAGAGGATGCCTGTCAGCCACCTTTTCTGGGGAATTTTGATTGTTTATGATTGAGTTGAATAATGGGAAAGCACCTAGCCAGCGTACAGCACGAGATAGATACTCAGTGGTTTTTATTTGCATCTCTGAGAAGCATCAATACATATTCTCATAGCCGTGTTATGAAATGGCTCCATCAAACATCCAATGGCCCAGAAACAGAACAGGAATGTGGAATTGCATGACGATTGGAAGGTCATGGGCGTTAGAAACATGTAGATTCTTTTTCTTATCTTCAATGAGAAAGTAGCTCAGATTTTTAAAGGTGCAGTGCTTTCTGACTCCTTCCTTAGTGATATGAAAGATGGACCTGCTGGAAACACAAATGTTCTCTCTGGGAAAATACTCCACAGTTGTGTGTTAATGCAACGGTGGCGTGTGCATGTGCACACACACACACACACGTACACTGAGTAGGGGTCTATAATCAAATTCGTTTAGGGGACATGAGGTTTTCTTTTTTTTTTTGGAGACAGAGTTTCACTCCGTTGCCCAGGCTAGAGTGCTATGGTGTCAGCCTAGCTCACAGCAACCTCAAACTCCTGGACTCAAGCAATCCTTATGCCTCAGCTTCCCAAGTAGCTGGGACTACAGGCATGTGCCACCATGCCTGGCTAAGTTTTTCTATATATTTTTAGTTGGCCAATTAATTTTTTCTATTTTTAGTAGAGACAGGGTCTCCCTCTTGCTCAGGCTTGTTTCGAACTCCTGACCTTGAGTGAGCCTCCCGCCTAGGATTACAGGCGTGAGCCACCGCACCTGGCAGAGACATGAGGTTTTATAAAGTAAAACTGCATTCTCTGCATCTAGACTTTTGAGATCCTTTATTATGTAATTACATGTATGACTAGTCACTAAGGTCATTGTAATGTAATGTTTCAAACAATGCATTGTTTCCTGTCTTACTGGAAAATGGAACCTCTGTGTGTGTGTATGTGTGTGTGTTTGTGTGTGTGTGTTTGGTGAATTCATGAATTTTATGGGAAAAATTTGAAAGACCCTGATCTAATCTTTGGATTTCAGTAATGGTGGGCCATATTATTTAGATAAACAGTCCTACTAAAAACAAAGTGATTTGTTTTTAGATATATATGTACATACATATATATGTGTGTGTACATGTATTCCTTTCTTTCCTGTGTGTGTGCACGTGTGTCTAGTCAGGAATAGGAATTACCAGGCAAAAACTGAAGAGAAAATGAGAGAAAATAGGAACTACAGAGGTTACTGGAGTCAGCTGCTTTTGCATGAAGGGTAAAATCAATATCATCAGCCTTTCCTTTTGGTGCCCTTGGTTGACGAGGACAGAAGGCAGAGCCAACTTCCCTGACAAGGTGAGAAGTCTGATAGGGACATCCCAGAGTCAGCTGGGCTCCCTGTCAGCGTGAGCCCACACAGATTCCCTGCTATGTTCCAGACGCCCCCAGCCATGTACTTTGTAAGAAGTGGTCCGAGAACAGGAGACTCTCTGGTTTCCAGCAGACACAAGCACAAATTGGCTCTAAGAGGAGGCACGGGCACCCTGGGCTTCCGTTGATCCCCACAAGTATATTTCAAGTAAGTGACCCCTCACTGCCCCTCCTTGGCTGAAGTGCTGTTCATCTCTGGCTTAAATTTCATAACAGGCTTTTCATAGGTTGCCCTGACTCTGGCCTCCCCTTCCAACATACCTTGAGCATCTTCCCTGTGCATTCCCATAATGTCTTATTTACTCTATTTATCATTTTACTTTGTTGTTTGACATGCTGGTTCTGTCAGAAGACTGAATTCCTCAAGGGCAGAGACCATGTCTGCTTCCCCTTGGGGTTCCCCGCACCCTGCACTGCATACAGAGCATGTGTTCGATGCGTGTTGATTCAGTGAGTGAATAAACCTTCCCAGAGTGTGTGGGGGCTGAGGAGGAGAGTTCCAGTGTGAGACAAGGCAGGTAACTCCCAAGGTGTAAGACCGAACTCCACCTCTACTCGGCTTTCCAGAGCTCCCATGGGTTTATCTCCAGCCCGGGAGCCACCAACCCTGGGACGAAGCAAACCATGCTCTGGGAAGTCTGTGGTGGAAGGAACAGGCTTATTCTGAAGAGCTTTTGCAATATGAATGGAGGGAATGGAGGGACATGAGACTCAAGGTGTACAAGGAACAGCAGGATGAAGAAAACAGAAGGGCGTAGTGGAGGAAACCAGGGGCACCAACTATCAGTGACACTGAGAATGGGGTCTGTGTACGAAACTGCTCTGGGTCCTGCCTGATCACATACTGCTCACTGGGATCAATTCATTCAACTTCTGTGAACCCCGGGTTCCTCATCTGTTACAATGAAGCCGTAACAATATTAGTTATTTCTTTTACTATTGCATATGGCCTCTTTTTTAAAAAAAAAATGAGCAAATTTAAAACTGTGCTATAATTCAAAAAGAGCATGTGAACTAGATTTTACTTTGAAAGTTTTAGTTACTATTAGTAGTATTTAAAAGGAGACCTGGAGAGCGAAGGAAACATGAAACAAAGAGAAGTCGAAGACAGAAGACTTCATCCCTGTGAGAGAAAGCAGATCCCCCAGTGCCATGAGGGCACAGAAGCCTCCGTTTGTGGGAGTCAGCGTCGACAGCAGAGAGCAGAACCGCACACTGGTTAAGGACAAAGGCTGTGAGGTAGCGTTGGGTTACAATCCACTCTTAGTGTGACTTTAGGCAAAGTATTTACCCTTAGGAGGCTCACTATCCTTAGCTATAAAATGATGATAAAATTGCGTCTACCTCTCGGGTAATAATGAGACTCGATCCCTCTTCCAATCAGTATGCGTTAACCATTTGCTAGCCACCAGGCACTGCTCTTGGCATGGGGGAGGAGGGGGACACAAACGGTGAAGAAGATCCCTGACCTTGAGGTGCTTCCATTCTAACAGGAAAATCAGAACAATAATCGAATGAATATATAGTATAGTCTTATGTAGTAGAACAGTCCCAGAAGAAAAATGAAGCAGGGTAGGGTGAGGAGTGGGCAGCGCACTTCCTGAGTGGGGTGGTAGGAGGTGGGGCGCTTGGCACCGTGACAGCACGGTGAGCAGTGGATCATACTGAGCTGGACATTTTCCTGTCTGAGAAACCCACAGAAGCTAAGCCCATGAGTCTTCACTGGCGTTCCCTGGGTAATCTGACTGGATTCACACAAGGCAGGGCATCCCCAGAGGAT